AGTTTTAATGTTTTGTATATCATCCAAAAGACAAAAGAAGGATCTGAGTCAGAAAACTTCAACAATCTAACTATGTTAGCAACACCATCAGGCCAGGACTCTGTGGTCTACACTCATCAGGCCAGGACTCTGCGGTCTACACTCATCAGGCCAGAGGTCACTCTTTCAGGGATGAAGATGTGCACATCCTGGACAGAGAGGAGCAATGGTTTGAGAGAGGAGTAAAGGAGGCCATCTTTGTGAAAAGAAATCGTCCATCATTAAACAGGGGTGGAGGCCTCCGGGTTCAACTGTCCCCCTCTTACAATGCTGTGATTGCTAGTATCACTCAGCCCTCTGTGAATATTAAACAGCCATCAGGTGCTAATGATCCATTGTTAGGCTGATGGTCCTTCTTGAGCATGTGATCAGCTGGTTCTGATTGTCAGCAGCAAACTGGTTGATCCACTCTGAGAAGGTGCTATTTAAGAGACTGAGCTGAATACAGCTCCTCAGACTGAGGAAGTCTTTCAGATGAAAAGCAAAGCATTTCTACAATTTTTTTGGTTTTTTTGAATGTTCAGAGGACCTGACAACTTTTTTAGACTACCTTTGTTGGATTTTTCTACCTGGATTATTGAGCTTGCATCAGGATATTGGAGCAAAGTCTTTACATTTATATACAGTTTACAAAACAGATTATACATATTTTGTCTTGTCTCTCACTACCAGAAGTTTATACAGCCAAACTCTCATGGACTTCCATTGAGCTCTTAAAAATTAGAGCTTCTTTTTAACTTGTCGTATCTTCTACACAAAACCCTGTAGGCAGAAAAAAATTGACAGGTGAGTTTTAGACATCTGCTGTACTTTTTTCACAGTAATTGCTTGTTTGAGGCTGAATGCCTGTTTATTAGAGTTGCATTCGGGCACAAAAAAATCAGATCTGACCTGGCCCCAGCCTGCAGTCATAATTTCTGAACCCCACCTGACCCGACAAATTAACAGTAATTACAGGTCCGAACCGGAAAATAAAACCCAACATTTTTAATTAGTCATTAACGGTCGGAGACGTGCGGCTGAATTAAGGGCAGAAGAATGGAGCTGAAGGGGTGTTTGGCATTTCATGTCCATAAAAGAGCATTTAAACCCTGTTTCTGCCTGGAAGTTTTGTAAACTTGATGGCTCTACCCCTCCCTCTCCTCCTACTGAGGAATTTCCATGGACTTTTCAGAGGAGCCCAGCTGAATAATCATTCTGTCATCAATTCAGGACTCTTTGGATTTCGTCCGTGGTCATCCTTGGCACCCCGCCGAGTGTGTCCGGATCTCTCCAGAGGGAACTATTTGAACTGAGTGATTTTATCTGTACTCTGCAGTGCCTCTGTGTGTTGTCTCTGGACATGCTTACTGCCCTTGCACACCCCCCCACCCCCATACACACACACACACACCCAAGGCCAGCCAGTCAGCTCGAGGTGAAACGGCCACGTGTGGCTGGTGATTGTATGGTAGGCCATGTTATATAATTGGATTGTGGCTGATCCTGACTCAATTTAAAGCTTGACACCTACCTGGCCTGCCCATCCAGCACATTATCATGGTTTGACCCACCCCAAATTTGGGTCGGGTGGGGCCAGTCTTAGGACTTGGGTTAGAAATGGCAGCTCTTCTGTCTATCAGGAAGTGAGAGACACAGATGTGACTCATGGTGACTCTGATTAAAAACTGGTAAAAGTTTTAATATTGCTTACATAGTTTATACAGAGGGCAGCACGGAGGCGCAACTGGTAGAGCTGCTGCCTCTCAGCGAGCAGGTCCCTGGTTCAAACCCCGGTCCAGGGGCCTTTTTGTGTGGAGTTTGCATGTTCTCTCCGTGCATGCGTGGGTTTTCTCCGGGTACTCCGGTTTCCTCCCACAGTCCAAAAACATGCATGTTAGGCTGATTGGTAACTCTAAATTGTCCCTAGGTGTGAGTGAGAGAGTGAATGGTTGTTTGTCTCGTTTGTCTCTATGTGGCCCTGTGATGGACTTGCGACCCGTCCAGGGTGTACCCCGCCCCTCGCACAGTGATTGCTGGACATGGGCACCAGCAGGTAAAGAAAATGGATGGATGAATAGTTTATACAGTGCTCAGGGGGTGGATGAGATTCACTCTGATTTCCTTAAGGCTCTGGATGTTGTGGGGCTGTCTTGGTTGACATGCCTTTGCAATGTCGCGTGGACATCGGTAGCAGTGCCACTGGATTGGCAGACTGGGGTGGTGGTTCCCCTATTCAAAAAGGGAGACTGGAGGGTGTGCTCCAATTACATTGGCATCACTCTCCTTAGCCTCCCTGGTAAGGCCTATTCAGGGGTACTGGAGAAGCGAGTCCGTCCTGGCCGTGAAACAATGGACCGGCTCTTTAGCTCCAGATCAGCTCCTGGCAGCAGGACGGCTTAGTGGTTAGCACTGTTGCCTCACAGCAAGAAGATCCTGGGTACAATGCCTGGTTGGACCTGGGGTCTTTCTGTGTGGAGTTTGCATTTTCTTCTAGTGCTTTTGTGGGTTTTCTCCAGGTACTCTGGTTTCCTCCCACAGACCAAAAACATGAATGTTAGGCTGCCTTCAGGCTCAGGCCTCCCTTGCAAAAGAGATCTGTGATCTCAGTGGGGTTTGCCTGGTTAAATAAAAGGTTAATAATAATAATGAAAAAAAAAGTACCCTCACTAGTGTCCTTGGGGGGTCATGGGAGTTTGCCCATCCAGTCTACATCTGTTTTGTAGACTTGGAGAAGGCATTCGACCGTGTTCCTCAGGGTATACTGTGGGGGGTGCTGCGTGAGTATGCGATTGGGGGCCCGTTGTTATGGGCTGTTCAGTCCCTATACAAATGGTGCAAGAGTTTGGTTCTTATTACCAACAGTAAGTTGGACGCCTTCAGGGTGGGAGTTGGACTCCGCCAGGGCTACCCGTTGTCACGATTCTGTTCACAACTTGTATGGACAGAATTTCTCGGTGCAGCCAGGGGGGCGGAGGGAGTCCGGTTCGGTGACCTCAGTATTCCATCTCTGCTCTTTGCAGATGATGTGGTTCTGTTGGCGTCATCATGCCGTGATCTTCAGCTCTCATTGGAGCGGTCTGTAGCCGAGTGTGAAGCGGCTGGGATGAGAAACCGCACCTCCAAATTTGAGACCATGGTCCTCAACCGGAAAAGGGTGGATTACTTTCTTTAGATCGGGGGTGAGGTTCTGCCTCAAGTGGAGGAGTTCAAGAATCTCATGAGTGAGGGAAGAATGGAGTGTGAGATTGACAGACGGATTGGTGCAGCATCTGTAGTACTGTGGACTCTATGCCAGTCTGTTGTGGTAAAGAGAGCACTGATCTGTAAGACAAAGCTCTCTGTTTACTGGTTGGTTAATGTTCCTACCCTCACCTATGGTCATGAGCTCTGGGTAGTGACCGAATGAAAGAGATTGCAAATAGAGGCGCTTGAAATGAGTTTCCTCTGCAGGCTAGCTGGACTTTCCCTTAGAGATAGGGTGAGAAATTCAGTTATCAGGAGAGACTTAGAGTAGAACCACTGCTCCTCCACATCGAGAGGAGCCAGTTGAGGTGGTTCGGGCATGTCTGACTGGGAGGTGACCCTGGACACACTGGAGAGACTATGTCTCTTGGTTGGCCTGGGAATGCTTTGGAGTCCTCCCAGGAGAGCTGGAAGAGGTGGCTGTGGAGTGAGATGTCTGGACCTCCCTGCTCAAGCTGCTGCCCCCGCGACCCGACTTCGGAACAAGAGGAAGATAATGGATGGATGGATGGATGGATGGATGGATGGATGGATGGATGGATGGATGGATGGATGGATGGATGGATGG